AAGATTTGGGTGCCACTACAGGACCTTGGTTGCAACAATGATCTATACGGTCCCAGTTTATGTCAATAACGTCACACCTACATTCACTGCAGCACAGCACCGTGCTGGGGCATTTGGGTCAGCATTGACTGCAAAGGGACTGTGCCCTCTAGTAAGCTCCCACCTTGCTCCCTGCAGCATAGCGCTCCCCTACATGATGCTACGGCAGCCCCATCCCTTCTGCACAGCACCCCTTAGTGCCACACTGGGACATTGGGGACAGCACTGACTGTATGGGAAAAGCATCCCTCCTTAACCCCTGTAGCGTATGGAGAATTTTGGTAGTTGCTTTTTGAAATCCTGCCCATGCTGCAGCCCTCTTAGCTTGTGAGAGCCACTCCAGGTGAGATCCTGGTTCTGACAACATATGGTTGGGTCATGAACATTATTGACACTCTGGGCATGTTTGTTCCTCCTGAAATTGTCTATGGTCCCTGGGTTGGTTCTCACAGTCACTTACCAAGGGGTGTTTTGTTGTTTCTAGTTGCCAGCACTGGTCACAGGTTGGTCACTGTTGACCTAAGTTGGGTGAGTGACTGCAGAACACTGAGTGCATATTACTTAGGCATGTCAGAACTCAATGTTTATGCTTTATAATTTTGATGGATATGTAGGGCAGTTCGGCTGGGGCTCGTACCCCTCTGGGGTGGCGGGGAGCCAGACCGCCTCGCTACTTTGGTCAGAGGTGTCGGGGAATTAGCCTGGCTTGTGGCGAACAGTCAGTAGCTCAGGCCCTCAGGCAGGAGTTCAGCAAACAGGTTAAGTATTAGCAGGCCCAGTCCCTGGGTCAGGGTGGGGCAACAAACAGTCAGTGGCTCAGGCCCTCAGGCAGGGGCTGAGCAAACGGTTGAACAGCAAACCTCAGGCTTCTGGCTATGAGCAGCCGGGGAGAGGGGGAGACTACCAGCTGCAAGGTGGGTGGCAGGGGGACACAGGCCCACCCACTCCTTTGCATCCCAGCCCGGGGCCCTAGCAGTGGCAGAAGGCCCGCTGCTGTGTCAGTGGGGATCCTGACCGCAAGACACTGACATTGGCTCTGGTAGTGTTGCAGCCAGACCAGAGTTGGCTGCCCCCGGGCTACTTCCTACCGCCCCCTTTAGAGATACCTGGATCCGGATGGCATCCTACACAGGGTCACACACCATGGACTCCTCGGGGTAGCTGGCGAGCGTTTGGTTTGGCAGCTCCTTGGGGTCTCCCCACTGGGAGCTACGCCACAGGCGTCTCGTTTCTCCAGTGGCTGAGTTTCAAGTGAGCTCTGGGGTCGGGCTTTTATGCTTCCTGTTCTGCGTCTTGACCTCTGAGGGGTGGGCACAGGGTTTGCTGGCTCTGTCCACTTTGGTGTCCAGAGAGGCTCATCCCCTCTGGGGGTGGCGGGGAGCCAGACCCCCCTTAAGTCTGGCTTCCGCTCCTCGTGGCTGGACTCTTCCACACCTCCCAGGCATGACAGGAAGTCAGCATTAGCGTGGTCCTTGCCTGCCCTATGGTGAACCGTAAAGGCATAGGGCTGGAATGCCAGGTACCATTGCTGTATTCTCATATTATTGTCTTTCATTTTATTCATCCACTGAAGTTGGGCGTGGTTGGTGACTAGGGTGAATGGGGCTCCAAGAAGGTAGTAATGTAGGGCATCACAATCCCATTTCACTGCCAGGGCCTCCTCCACCACCGTGTAGTTCTTCTCCTACGGAAACAATTACCGGCTAATATATAAGACCGGATGGTCTTCCCCATTGATCGCTTGGGACAGGACAGCGCCCAGTCCTATCTCTGAGGCGTCCGTTTGGAGGACAAAGTCCCGGTTGAAATTTGGGCTTTAGAGGACCAGTTCATGACAGAGACTTGTTTTGACTTCCAGAAAGGCGTCTTCGCATTCCTCGGTCCAAATCACACATCGAGGGCTGTCCTTGGTTAAAAGGCTGGTCAACGGTGCGGTGACAGATGTAAAATGGGGAATAAAATGCCAATAATAGCCGGCGAGCCCCAAGTATTGTCGCACCTGATGCTTTGTGGTGGGAGGAGGGCAGGCTGCCAGGGCCTGGACCTTTCCCACGACGGCCTTCACTTGTCCGTTCCCTATAGTGTAGCCCAGATAAATAGCCTCTTGCCATCCAATGCAGCATTATTTGGGTGGGTTGTCAACCAGTCCACCCGCAGGGATCTCAGGACTGCAGTTACCCGTACCAAATGATCCTCCCAGTGGCGGCTGTAGACCATCACATCGTCCAAGTAGGTGGCCGCATAGTCTCAATGGGGTTGGAGGACACGGTCCATCAGCAGCTGAAACATGGAAGAGGCTCCATGGAGGCCGAAGGGACTCTGGGTGAATTGGTATAGACCTCTTGGGGTGGCAAACGCTGTCTTCTCCATCGAAGCGGGGCCAAGCGGTGATGCTCCGCAGGTGTACTGCCTCCAAGAAATGAGTAGCATAATCTACTAGGACCAACACATACTGAAATCGCACGGTGCTTTTCAGGAGGGGCCCCACCAGGTCCATGGCTACGTGTTCGAAGGGCATTTCGAGGATGGGCATGGGAACCAACAGGGCCTTGGGTGTCCGCGGGGGTGCGGCTAGCTGGCACGCTGGGCAGGAGTTACAATAGTTCCTTACTTCCTGATGCACGCTGGGCCAGAAGAAGTGTGTCAGTATCCGGGCTAAAGTCTTCTCGTGGCCCAAGTGCCCAGCAGCCGGGATGTCATGGGCAAGATTCATTCCTGCCCGCCGGTGACACGAGTAGTTGGCTCTGGGGTTCTCCAGTGCGCGGGTCCCGTTCTACCCGATAGAACCGATCCTGTCACAGTTCGAAGTGTGGCCACTGCTTCGCCCGGTGCGGGTCAATGTCGGCCCCATTGACCGTGGCTATTCACTCGTAAGCGTGACTGAGAGTGGGATCTGCCCTTTGGTTACGACAAAAGTCAGTGTGAAGCAGGAGTTCAGCAGCAGCTTCTGGAGGGGAGTTCTCTGGCTCTTCTTCCAGTCCGTTGGGGTCTGGTGCCTCCTCCCCCTCCGATGGGGTCTCAGGGAGGCTCCCTTCCAGTACTGGGGTAGTTGCGGGCCTCTCATCAGCATTGGAGCAGAGGACTTCCAGGAAAATTGGCCAGTCCCGCCCCAGGATCACCGGGTAGGCAAGGCGAGGAACCAGGTCGACCATCGATCGCGTGACCCCATCCACGGTCAGTCGGACTTGGGCACTGGGGTAGGGTCGTACGTCGTCGTGAATGCATTGTAGACGGATCGCCCCCAGACGTGGGTCAGCCTGGAGGCCTAGGTTTTGGCAAACCAGCGTCTGGCCACAACCTGAGTCAATTAGGGCCACGGTTAGGCAATCCTCGACAACCACTGGCACAGTAATCTTGGTGGCTTGTGAGCTTTGGGCGCGGGCTTCTCCCGTGCAGAAGTGTCCGAAGCTACAATCCATCTCGGTGCAGTCTTGCTGCAAATGGCCATATTTCCCACAGGAAAAACAGGGTCCGATATCTGAGCACCCAGGCCGGGACACTGTTCCCGCCTGGCCCCTGGGGGGGGGGTGCTTCGGTTGGTCCCTTGGGCATCTGGTTGAGGTGCCGGGGCTTGTCAAACCTGGACCTCGGCAGGTCGGGTCGGGGCTCCGGGCCCCGTGACGGATTTCATGGTTTGCTCCTTTTCTCTGGGTTAGGGCGCTCCGGTCCTGGCGGGGCAGCTCGAGTGATTGGTCCCACTGGTGTTTCGGTGGCAAGGAAATCCTGCATCAGTGTGATGGCAGCAGTTAAGGTCGTAGGCCGATGGCGGAGGACCAAGGCCCTTCCTCACAATTGGAGTATATGGACAAATTGCTCCAGAATAATTTGTTCAATGAGCTCATCCAGGGTTCGCCCTTCAGGTTGTAGCCACCGCTTGCAGGCTTCCCTCAACTCTTGTGCTGCCATCCGGGGTCGGGCCCTGTAGGGTAGACCAAGCTCCGGAAGCACTGTTGGAATGTCTGCGGGTTAACGTCCAGGGCATGTAAGATTGTGTTGTACTTAAAGTACTGCACAGGATCTTTTTAGGGGGAATAAGACACAACGCCACATTTATTAGTAATACATGTATTCATTAACACTTTATCATATGCATATAATATATTACACTTACACTCACACACACACACAAACACACTCCGTCTTGTTGTTACCAATTAGTTGCTCCCCTTAACTTCACTGGCCAGGTGAGTTAGATGCGGGAGGGGGTGGAGCTGGGCTTCTGCCGTTCCGGATCGAAGCTCCCATGTTGACAAGATGAGACCCGGGGTCCTCTGCAAGACACCTCACTTTTATAGCAGCTTTCCTCTTATGCAAATTTATACCAGATTTAAACTCTGTGTCTGTGTCCATTGGTCCTTTGTGCTGCTTTTTTTTGAGTGTTGTCCCAATGCTGCAAAGAGGGTGTTTCCAAAAGATGGTGCTTGCTTCTAACCCCCGAGGCCGTCGGTATGTTTGCTTGTCTTTAATGAGCCCACCTGACATGTTTTATTGTCCTTGGGTCTGGCTCCCAGCCCCCCTCCAACAGTTGAGGCTGTCTGGAGGTGCTGCCTTCCATGCCTTGCTCATCCACACCTCATTCATTCAACAGGGCAATTGATTAAGAGTGTGTGTGTGGGGGGGAGAGCTCTTGTTCTACTGCTAGCAAAAAGAAATTTTTCTTCTATTTTATTCTATTCTTAGGGGTTATAATATTATACCAAGGGCAATGCAAAGTTTCTAAATGAGGCTTTGATACAAAGTCCCATGAAAACAGAGGTCACACGTGGGTAGACCCACCACAAGGTTATATGAAGAGGCACAATGTAAAGTCATATGAAAATTATCAGAGATTTATCTACATTGTCCCTCTTTTGACCTCTCAAGAACAATTCTTGAGTGGTCACCATATACATCTTTTG